CTCTAACTCTTAAAAGGCGGGCGTACGTAGTTAGGTATGGTTAAGTTCTGTCACTGTTAACGGTGAAACCCGGTTATCCGGTATGGAAACAGAAAAAACTTTCATTTGACCTTGACAATTTTCTGATCAGGACAACTAAAACTTCATCCTGAAAGTCCGGAACACGGATCCTTGTTGCCATTATTTCAACCACCTGAAAAGTAAGTTTGATTCAATGGCTAATTCAGTATAAATCGCCTCTTAGTAGCAAGAGGAAAAGCACAGCACAGAGTAACGTATGCAAGGTCGCATTCAACGGATGAGAAAACTGTATTCAACTCAGAAACTTTTTAAGTGTCGCTATTGATCGTTGTTTATGGCAAAGGCCCACCTTTATGGAAAAGGTTTTGCGGACGTTTCTTTAGAAAAGACTGCATATGTAAATGTTGTAATCATAGTTATCGCAGTCAGAAGAATCGAGCTTTTCAGGCATAGAAATATTCCTAGGCGCGCAATACATGGGAGAGTAATCTGAGATAGAGAGTATATTTTTATTAATCTAGCTGCGTCTTCGCCACAGAGCAGATCAGTCCATTGCTGTACATATATGTAGGTTGGTTTCTTGCCATTGGATTCCTCTTGGAATGCAGGTGTGGGCAAGAATCTTTGCCCGAGACTTCAAAAATCTCAAAAACCATGTTACGCCGTGGAACCAGTTTAACGTTTGGGATCCAAACCAAAAAAGAGGCGCTACCAAAAGGGTTGACGGACAAACGCAATCAAGCTGAGTGCGATATTGGGTATAATTTGGCTGCGATATTTGTTTTTCATAGAGAAATGTTTCTTTTAGCCGGCACACTAGTCAGAAGTAACAATAAACTAATGGCTCTTTCATTTACCTATACTAAGAGACTATGATAACGATTCTTACATCCATATTAACTTAACTCTGTATTATTGCCCCGCAGGGATTTCGCCCAGATGGCGAAGTCTCGAGGAGGCACTCTAGTAACTCGTGCGTATGTTAAGGAAAGTACTTACAGTTGAAATATACAGTCATACCGTCAATATAGAAAAAATCTCGATTTGCTTGAACAGGGGCCGCGAGGAATCGGTGGGTAATGATGACGTTTCTATTGTTTGCTCTCGCAAGTACGAAATGGTTAGGATGACGTAAAACACAAAAAAAATCCCGAAAGGACCGCTTACAATAGGTAGATTTTGTGACATTAATTGTGCAGTCATACTTCGATACTCTTCTGCGTTACGTGTTATCAGTGACATTCTGTAGAGCAGTTGTTATGAAAGTTATGGACCAAAAGACACTCGTTAAGTGCAGATGAAGTTATAAGGTGCGTATAACAGTGTATATTTTAACACCAAGTGAGTTTTGCCAGACACGAGTTCACAAATCTTTGATTGGAAACCTTGCCAGACACTCTTTCTCTTTCTTTGACCGGAATAAGAGCCCTAAACAAGCAAGACGAGTGAATGATTCAACGGGTAGCTTATCACTAGCAGAACGATGGACGATTACAGGAATTCGCCAACCATCAAATTTTGTGTTGACTTATTCCCTGCTCACCACAGATGTCCTTCCGCTATAAAGTTTAAAATAAGACTAGAATGCTCGTGCGTGATTTGATCAAACGTCCGTTTAATTTCTAAAGCTTACTTTCCGGCAAATAAAATGAACTAAATTTAAAAAGTGAAATAGAAATAGCGAAAAATTAAATGTCTAATTTCTTTTCTTATGGTTTAGAACAAACTATTCTCGAAACTGAGAATGTTTTGATCAAAGCTGTGTAAATCGAACGGAAACTGTGGATGGAACCTTGCGTTTCCTGAATATATCTCACCTCAATACACCGTATTCACAAATGGCGGACACGCGGGAAAAAACTGGTGCCTAGTCATGAAAGCGAGGCGTTGGAGGATAAACAAAAATTGCAAATAAAGACTTTTAGTGAACTTGTAGAGTGTTAAGCGCTGATTCCACCAAAAATAACTTTGTACGGACTTCTTTTTAAATAAAATTACGTGGGATGTCTTCTGCCTTTAATGTTTAGTAGTGATTTTCTGTTTGCAATCAAAACGGACGCGTATATCTTCAAGGAAACAGGATGATTTTGTAGGTTTCCGAAGCATCAGAAGCTTGACAAGTGGGCTATGGCTGGAGAAAAGCGGCAAAATGTTGGCCCAAACTTCACATTGAAACCGAGTACGAAAGCCAGATCACTACAATTCTGTAAAACGGAAATAAAAACAGATATTGGTGGCGAGAAAAAGAGAAATAAGCGACGGATATATGGCCTACTTGTTAACGGAAGAGACCTCCGCCATTACACAAAACAGGTCAAGTCGAGAGCGGGTGAAAGATTCATTCGCAAGGCTCATTTATTCATGTCAGTGTCATTTTATACATATCTATGTATATATGTATTTCTGCATTTACAACTTCCTTTGGATCATATTAATTCCGTCGCTTTGGAGTGAATTGTTACTGAGGTACGTTGGCAGAGCTTAGTAAAAATCTCATGATTTCTTTGTCATTGCGAAATAATTAAAAATAATTTTATTAAAATTAGAAGCTGTACTGTGTGAATCTTATGGCTTGCTATTTGCCTGGTCTCCTTTAGGGCATTATCTCAGAGAGCTCTTGGTAAAAAAGTAGTATAAAGCTTACATTTTACTAGGTTAAACTTTGAAGGCAATGTTTGTGTCAGGAATAAACACGGCAAGCTTCTGTTTCGAATAATTAAATTCGAGTCTGGATCCGTTTAAGAAGACCATCATTTTATTTATTTATGTATTCTTCAACTTTAAATTATTATGAAACATTAAGTTAAAAGTCTTAACAGCCAAAGATAAGAAATACGTAATTACTCGCTGAAATGATATGTGGCCGGCTTACCGAGTCTGCCGAGTAACATGTTGAAATTTTGAGCGTACTCCACTCGATCGCTCCTGCATTTATACTAAAAAAATAGTTCTAATTGATGTCCTTCATCGATAAAGACCAGAGAATAACGTCCTGGCAAACAAAAACCAAACATAACTTCATCGAAACCTCAGTCACCTCTTCTTTCCTGTCTTCTTTTTTTCCATGTGTTTCAGTTCAACGGCAGACGTCTCTTGCGTTAACAAGTAGGCCATATATCTGTCGCTTATTTCTTTTTTTCTTGCCACCAAGATTTGTTTATATTTCTGTTTCACCGAATTACAGTGAGCTGGCTTTCGTACTCGGTTTCAATGTGAAGTTTGGGCCAACATGTTTGCCGCTTTTCTCCGGCGATCGTCCACGAAACCTACAAAATCATCCTGTTTCCTTGAAGATATACGCGTCCCTTTTGATTGCAAACAGCAAATCACTACTAAACACGAAAAGCAGAAGACATCCCACGTAATTGTACTTAAAAAGAAGTCCGTACAAAGTTATTTTAGGTGGAATCCGTGCTAAACACTCTGCAAGTTCAAAAAAGTCTTCATTTGCAATTTTTATCCTCCAACGCCTCGCTTTCATGACTAGGCACCAGCTTTTTCCCGCGTGTCCGCCATTTGTGAATACGGTGTATTGTATGGAATATGTGTGAACACCTTGATTATGAAATCGGTATATTTCAGAGAGCTACACAACGAGCAAGAATACTATTGCCCGACAATATACAGAACGGGGGAAGCTGTGGTGTCAACCATTACTAGTTTAAAGAGTGAAATAACTGTTTCGTTTTGTTTTTCAGAGAGGACATTAACACTGACCCCTTTCCACTATGTACGAAACAGATGACGTAACAATAACGACAGTAACTTCTATACTCGTTATTACGAGTATCGTGGGAAATTCTCTTGTTTGTGCTGCCATAATAAGACATCGAGATATGAGGTACCCATAAGGGACGGACAATTATTTTTCTGGAAGGTGGTGGGAAGGGGGTGGGGGGGATGAGAAATTATCCTCTGCAAACATTTTTTTTGAACATATATGTCTCTGCAAACATTTTTTCTCCATCGTCATCTTTTTGCAAACCCTTTTTTCCACATTTTCAGTGTTCTTTTTATTTGTGCTAAATATTACCATTGCCTTATTTTAAAACTGTTTTTCCAAGAACCTAATCGATAGTGCCATAGCCACTTCATATTTTGTTGATATGCGCTCCACTCACCTTTTCAAATTTTTGGCAGCTACTGACGCAAATTAAGGGCATACGATAGGAAATAGCCGAAGGGAGTAGCGGGCTTTTTTGCGATTCCACAGTACCAAAAGCCATGGCTCTTAAGAGTACCGAAGTCCTGATCCCCTTTGATAATGTTCCCACGGGCCATCATACTGGGACCACCCGGCCTGTGGTACCCGGGGTAGATGCGCCCATTTCTTGAAAGAATGTCATTATTAAATGGCAAGGCGAGTGGCATTCCTTCGATGAAAACCCTTGAAGGCGTCATGTATTAGACATTAACTTAGCATTATTTTATGTCGTTCATGTAGTTCATGGACTTCTGAAGTTTGGAGAATGTTATTCGTTTAATAAAGTCTTGAGAAAAATACCTGGTATATGAAGTTTTGCAGTAGGAAAAAATGTTGACATGGAACGTTGAGATTTAATTGCCACAATAATTCCCAGATCAGCTATTTTTAGATTCGTTATACAGAGTGACCATGCCACTTTTATTTTAGAGTACCCCCACCGTGTTTCTTTTTATATTTATGCTTCAATTTTTTATTGTAATTTTCTTTTTCATTTCAGTTTTAGTAACGATATTTGTGACATTTTACATGGCTTCTCTGCAAACAGTTTTTTCTTACCCTACCACGTTTGCAAACAATTTATTTTGTCTTTTCAGACCATACAAACAATCTTTTTCAATATTTCTTATCCCCCCCTCCCCTCCAGGGAAATAATAGTCCGGCCCTAAAAATAACGAGTAGAAAATAACAATATATTCGTCAAGCAAAGTTACATACTTAATTATGTTAATTTCTATGACATCCAATCCAAATAGCTCTTACAGTTGAGACCGCGATGACATCATTTTTATTGTCCAATGTTAGGATTCCCGTAAATTTTCTTCTGGCGAACTTGGCAATCGCAGATATCATGTACGCCTTATTTTACATACCAAAGATCATTTGGGGTCATATCGCAAGTCACCCTGAAGGTCTGGGTGGAAGAATTTTGTGTGCCCTGTTAACAGATGCTGCCTTGGCGTGGGTTGGCGGCGCTTCTTCGGTCTTCACTTTGGTTGCCGTCGCCACGGAACGTTACTATTCTGTCTTGTATCCACTTGAAAACAAAGCACATCTTAGCGTGCGCAAACTTAAGGTATGATACCAAATATAACCAACTTAGATACAAGATAGCAACAAAGATCTCTCAGTGCCCCATATTATTACTGTTTAGTTTTGTCTAATTTTATCTATGGTTTACCCGCATATGGAGCGTCTGAACCTGATCTTCATATTATACAGAACTTTTCAGATAGATGTCATAAGCGCCGTTTTATTTCGTACCCCGTTTCAATTAAGGATCTCTTAAAAAAGCAAGACAGTAAAAATTTTTACGAAAGTAACCTCTATAAATAACTAGCCGCTCGCTCCATACATTCCTTAAAAGAAAGTCTGTTCTCATAACCTCCGTAAAAAAACAATGTGCCCGTGCCAAAACTAATACTGAAAACAACCTCAGTAGAGGATAGTTAGGATTCAACAATAATTTTCTTTATTTTAATATGTATTATTCCGGACAATTGTAACATAAGATATGTATCTATCTCTTATGTGAAATAAAGACCATTTTTATTATTATTACTATAAGCGTAATGTTCGATTCCTTTATCTGTTTAAGACGGCGAGACTTTTTCACTTTACATTAGAAAGAGTTTGAAGATGATGTTTTTTACGACATTACTTTTTGATAGATAAAAATTCATTTTTTTCTCATTTAGATCATCATTTCTGGTTCTTGGATACTCGCATTGATAATGAACGTCCCTGAATTCTGGAAAAAGATCGAGGGCGGTACTTGCAGTTACGCATGGACAAAGAAGTGGATGCCGAAAGCTTACACTTTGATATGGCGTGTCTTCTTTGGGCTTTCTTTTATGCTGATGACTGGATTATACTCCAGGGTTATTTACACTCTCTGGTTCAAAAATACCAGTAATTCCGAAGTCGTAAATCGACGAAAGGTATGATTTGATTCGCCTTATGGGCAATGCCGTTCTTTTACTAGACCTCTGTGTTTCAATGAAGTAAGCTCTCGCTTACCATTTTTTATCCTTCTATGCATTACAACAAACAGATTTACAAGTTTCCGAATGGAGTGTTTTCACATGACGTCACGACGGCCATCGTGGTGTCCCAAACCAATCCTCTAGGAGTTGAACACTTTTCTTATACAAACGCTTTCTTTTGTTCCAATAAATTTGCATAGATGCTGGCCACGTGAGTGAAAAGAGTCTTAAGATAACTACGCAACAAAATCATCATAAAAACGCATTTATCGCATTTATCGCAAACGCATTTATTTGTCATTCTGTCATTATTACCCTGGTAACAGTAGGGCAGTTTTTCTACAATTTATGATAAAAAAAGAAGAAACATTATTACATTACTGAGTTAACATTTACCGGTTTATGTCTTACAGACAACTATCAAGCAACGCTTACTAACTTAATATTTTGTTCCCGTAAATACGCCTCCCTTCCTGCCAAAAAGCAGGCTAATAACTTAAAACGGTATTTCTATTTATGTAGGGTGTGGTGAAGGTGCGGAAGCGAGTCACCTTGATGGTTGTCGCTGTCAGTGCAATCTTTGGAATATGCTGGGGAGCAGACTCAGTGTTTCACATCTTGGAGGATTTTTCGTCCAACAACCTCGCTCCCTCTGCAATTCCCATTGCTCACACGGCCGTCATGTTCAATTCGGCCGTCAACCCGTTTGCATATGCTTTGATAAACCAAAGATTCAGAAAGAAAATGAAAGGGATACTTTGCTGTAGACCACTTTCATTGGGAGTCATGGATACTCAAGGCAATGAGATGGCAAACAGAAGTTCGTTTGTACAGAACTTCAATGTGGCGAATAAGCTAGAAACCAATGAACCTTCAAATATTATGAACCAAACAGGCGAAAACGTAGAGGGAAATGCCATAATGTAGGGAACTTACCAGAAATGCTTGTACATATTGCCACTTATGCCAAATTTGGATCCAAATCCTTCTAATGAAAAAGTATTCTAGAATCATTCTATCAATACCTCTAGAAGATTATTGAGAAGGCGTACGTATCGGGGTTGAGTGCATGTAGCTGTTACGGTAAACGATTCACGATTCGCAATATCATTTAATGTTGGAGCATAGCTTATCACCGATGTGATTAGAGATCTATAGTGTGGACTAGAACTACATTTATTACTTAAATTACCTACTTATGAACACGTACGTATGGAAGCTTACTAATTGTCTGGAACTGAGGTCTAAGTTACAGTTCGTTTAATTAAGTGGCCCGTATAGGAATAATTTAGTTTGTTTTCATAATTTATGTAGGTTACGCATAATTGAGTCAAGGGGGGAAAACTTCAATAAAAGCCTTTGCTCCAGTCCTTTCTCCCTTTATGATCTTTTCTTTCCCTGTCTCTCCTAAAAAGTCTGATGCAAAGTCTAGGCAAACCCGAGCTTATGTCAAAACTAACTATCCTCGGGTACACCTCTTCCTATTAGGGACTTTAATCAAAGATGGTTTGAGCGACGCAGATGAACCGGAAGTGAGGTCTTTTCGCTTTTAATGGACCTCGACTCTACCATATTTGCATTGCTAGGTTAGGCCGATACACACGAGGGGTTTTGCTCCCGGAGCATGCTGTGTGCATACACACGAGGGAGCGTTTTCAAGTAGGTAGCTTGCCCCCAAACATTTAACCTGTTAAATATCGTGGAGCATTTTGCGGGGTGGAAATTTTGTTCCCGAGGATGAAGTATACCCATGAAATCGTTGGTACACACGGAGGAGCTTTGCTCCCAGAGCGTGCCCCTGGAGCATGCTCCGGGAGCAAAATCCCTCGTGTGTATCGGCCTTAAAAACCTCTTTGCTTTGGCTCCCTATACCGTTGAAACTCAAAACGAAAGGTATCAATCGATTCTGTGGAAAGGAGAACGTAGATGATGATTGTTTGGTAATTTCGTCAACATAGTAGGTGAAATTGAAGAAGTTGGCCCAGCCTTTTCAAGTTACAGTCCATTTCCATCCTGATTATTGAATCAAATTGATTAAGCAAAAACCTTAGAACTGCGCAGGAGGAAAGCTAGGCCAACAATGTTAAATAAAACGCACGGTAATCTAGTAGAGAAAGACAAAAAAAAGCATCTCGAGACAGCTGGCGGCTCCAGCAGGCATATGCACAAATTTTCGTATGTCGTACACATATTTCACCTGTACATGTTTTACACATAGAGAGAAATCCTTTTTAAAAAATTGCGAATATATTATCCGAATAGACTTTACTTAAAACGTATTAATATAGGTAATAGCATGATTTGTAGTGATATTTGGCATAAATACAACGAGTGATATTTCAAAATTGTTACGGCGAGTGAAAATTTAAGACAATTTTGAAATATCCGAAGTGGTATTTGAGCCAAATATCACGTACAAATCATGCTATTATTTGTTTATACTACTGCCCACAAAAGGTTTGTAATTTTCACATGTAGGTGTTTCAAATTAAGCTGAAATACCACTGCTCTAAGCCAATCAAATTGCAGAAATTTCTCATGTAGTAGTATAAATTACTTAAGGATAGTTTTGTTGTTGAGGTGTAGAATAGAAGTGTGGTTTTACCTTTTATCAGCAGTGGAGACGAGAGGCCCTGGCAAAACTGAGCCCTGCAAATCCGAGAAAATTTGTTTGGGAGAGTAAGCCTCAGTTTTTATCTTAAGATCAAAATGAGCGGACGTCCCACCTACCTAAAAGAAGGTTTAGATCTGCTGCTGGTTAGCTTGATGTTTAGGTGATAAAATTTTAATCAGATTCGCTTGTGACCGTATTACAACAGACAAACCTAGTGGGGGTGTCTATTGAGGGCGGAGCAAGCTTTCCAATAGAAGTGCTTGATAGATAATTAGGCCACGATCATATGTTAGCGCGGAACATTTACCCGCACAAACAATCTCACGGATAGATGCGATTTCTTCACCTCTCTTGCAATTTTCTGAGCTGGAAATCTAAAAAACTAGTGAAGCAAGTTGACCCAACAAGGCGTTTTTATAAGAACAAGGTATGCACTAAAGGGTTAACGGTAAAAATATAACTGCTGTCCCTCTCTGCCGTTCTATGCTTTCTAATATTCTATTCAGCTTCAGAAAACTCCTTCTTCACCAAAACTACCAGGCAGCACAGCTACAGAACAATGAGCACTTACATTAGTACTTAGGCCTATTCTCGACCTATTCGGACGCATTCGAGTCGTCATCTAGCAACTTTTAATACTAACAGAGTAATTGGTCGTCGTCTTTTAACTAACAGTGCTTGTTTATGGTTCTAAAGCCAAAAACAACGGTGCATCATCGTTCAACATACATGTATATTGCGTAACAATGTAGCTTGTTGAACAACAAAGAGTCCATCTTTAATCTCGCAAAACAGCGTTGGAAATTCAGCATGGCATGATGCTCTGTTCAAAATTTCTTGAATGGCAGATCCAAGATTTTTTGATCGACAAATTTGAAAAAAGAGTCAGTGGTTATTAGCAAGTGCACCAATTTCTTCATAATTTTCACCGTTTTTAGTCTCTAGGTTTTCTACAAGAATAAAGGTAAACGTACAAATGCGTTAGAAGTTGTTCGAGCAGAATTCATTAGTTTTTTTTTTTTTTGGCATATTTCAAGTAAACAGTAAATACCAATTTTTTACGTATCCTAATTATAAGCATTTTTGACGTTATAAAATAACTTCGGCCGTTCTAGTTGGTAAATCAATGAGCTGAACATGTTAGAAGCTTCTAGCTGGCCATAGAAATTATTTTAATTAAACTTTGTTAAACTGAGGCTAATGAGTACGTACAAAAAAATTTTTAAAGTTATTATTGCGAAAAATAATAAATAGATATACGTAAATGTTTTCTTAAAATCAAATACGAGTACGTCAGAGGTATAACAGTGTTTTATATAATTTGAAACTTTTAAAAATAGTATTAAAGAGAGAAAGAACTGCTTCTTAGAACTGCACAACGGGCGACACGAGGGACAATTTGATCAGCCAGTGTTGGTGAGTCTTGTTTTCTGCTGATTTGAACATCACCTCGAGCTTCAGGAATGAATAATTCACTTATTATGTTTTATTTCCTCCAGCCTCGGGGCCAAGTATGAATATGTCGAAATTCACGATATTTTTTCTCGTTCCCTCGACATCTCGCGTGGGTTATTATGCATGTAAAACAATAGAGTAAGTTTGGTATATTGCTTAACAAACCCATGTTTACAGAGCTTTGTTAGCAATCAGCTAGCACATTAGAAACTTCACTAAAAAGATTCCGAATGAGCATTTAAAATAACCCTGTTATGATGTTCACAGGTGAAGGAAGTATCCTCAGACAGCTTTGTTCAAAGCACGCAGGAAGTGAAACGCTTAACACCAAACACTTCAGGTAATTATAAAATTTTACGTTGCCAAAAAATAGAAGCAACGAGATAGTTTCTAGCTCATTTGGTTTTAAATTAGGCAATTAGAAATGGCGGATGATAAAGTCTATTCACGTTATTTAATTAGGAATACATGGCTTTTGCGTTTCATAAAAACTAACGAAGTCTAGAACGGCCAATCAGAATCAATCAAACTTGAATATGGTCAGAAACGTTTCGTATAGCCTCAAATTATCTATATTGAAAAATCACCCTCACTCAAGCTGTTCAGTGTCAGCAGTTGCTCGTACAGGTGAACTGTGCCAAAATAGATCAAATCTAATCTGTTTGCCCAGGAAAATCTTGTGACTGGATGTTCTGTAAATAAAGTAAATGTAAAATTTTGTGCTGTTGTTAATCATCAGCATCTAGAATCTGTTATTTTACCCCAAACCCTACTCATTATGTTTTTCCTTTTGACTAAACTCTTCCTTAGATTCCGCCTCAATTAAAAAACTATTAAAACTGTGTTTAGCCCGCACCATGAGTTGGTTTCCTTCAACATTCCTTTTTCGATATAACCACACCAGTAAAGATAAAAGTTGGAGCTGAATTGGCACGAGTAGTTTAGGACGTAATGAAAAGAGGCAGTTGGTTTACTTTCACGTTCTTGTAATTCAATTTGCCATTTTGAATCGTACACCTGCTAGCTAGCCTAAAACAGCCAAAATGTAATGATAAATAGCCGTCATTTTTGGCTAATTATCGGAAGAAAACGCTTTGTGTGACCGTTCCACGATAAAATTCAAGATGGAAAATATATACAAATCAATCAACTGAGAAAGGTAAAATTTTTGTAAATTGTCTCCTAGAGTAATTTGGAATATCTGTAAGTTTGATAACGAGAGACGTGTATGTAATCAGGACCTTAGATGCAACGCATATTTAAGCACTGTTCTGTTTGATATTTAGAGAATCAAAGGAAGTGTTTTTACGCTTTTGGTAGAAAATGACAAAAAAATTGCTTCCTAAGACTGGTTGATAACCATTTGACACCACCTGCTGAGATGTCATCGTTGCGTACCTTTTTTAACTAAGAAAACTTTAGAACATCAAATACGACTTCCCATGTACCATATTTTACTTTACTCTTGAGGGATTCATTAGGTTGGTATGTCAGTGATAATTTTTATTACCGGTTATGCGCATTGATGTTAATGAGATGGTGAGTTCTAACCTTGGTGAATATAAAGTCACGACTGGTAAACGGATCGACTTTTTTCCGAGCCGCCTGTGGTATGAGGAGGCAAATGTGACAAAAAGATAACTCTAATAGATTACAACTCGTGATAATTACTAACAACTTTTAATACTGATCGAGTGCCACTCTTCCTTGGTTCAGAGATTCGATTTTCAAACTGTTCTAGCAGAGAACGAACACCGAGCACAAGTTCCACCAATCGTTGATGTATTACGAAACCTTTGCTTGCACAAAACAAATGTCTATTATATTGCTTTCATTGCAAGTTGTATTCAAACCACGAAGAGACAGTATTATCAAAAGGATGAACAGCATCGGCTTTTAATGCTAAGTCCACTCAACTTTTTTTGTGTTATTGTGTTTAGTTATGTCAGACGCCACTGGAGTTGCCGTGACAGTAGTGACATCCATACTCATCATCGTATGCATTGTTGGAAATACTCTGGTTTGCGCTGTCATTAAGAAAAATCGAGATATGAGGTAAAGCCATCATTTGGGGGGGGGGGGGGGGGCAAGGTATGTTTTTTGGTTGTGGACTGGCGGAGGCACTCGGGGTTGGAGGGGAGAGAGGTGATCGTCCGTCTCTCTTTGTGGTATGTTGTATGAAACTGGGGTGTTGGTGTGTTTATGAAAAAAAGAGGGGGGAGGGGGTAAAAGCTGGGGGGGGGGGGGGGGGGGGGGGGAGCAAGTGTACGCTCATCTACAAAATTTCTTGTCTTTGCGGCAGTATATCTGCATCACTTTCGAAATTGGCAAATTTACAAGCTAAAAATCGCTCTTTTCGGTATCACCGATGGATAAAAATCTGGAAGGAGAAATTTGCGTAGCATTAACCATAATTAACTGAATAAATGGTTACATCAGAATTTACTTTTTAACTTACTTACAATTCCATATTTGCGTTAACTTCAATGAAGGTAGTCGACTATTCACATCTCTACAGTTTCATGTAATAGCGTCGTTCTTGTATTTGAAGCAAAGATGACTGGAGGACACCAGTGAATTGAGACTGGACCAACGCCTGGGTATTCTTGCAAGGTCTTTACCCTCAGGGTGCTAATTGAATATCTGTCTGCTTTTCTGCTTTGTAGGATTCCCATTAACTACCTCCTCTTGAACATGGCAGTGGCCGATATTTTATACTCTACATTTCTGATACCAGAGCTTATCTCGACACACAGTCCTTCCCACCCACAAGGCTTGGTTGGCAGAATTTTATGTTCACTCTTAACAAAAGGAAACTTGGCGTGGCTAGGGGCGGGTTCCTCCATCTTTAGTCTGGTAGCCATTGCTGCGGAACGTTATTACGCTGTCACATATCCACTTGAGAATAGAGGAAAACTTACCTCGAGTAAACTTAAGGTCTGTATCCGTGCTGTAAACAACAATAATCCTAACAAGTTATTTTAAACTATTTTTGTGAGCCGATAAGATACTCGCGAATCTCTATACAAGTATTCACCTTCCTTAATTAAAGATCATAGCCACAGCTGATTGTCAAAATATATAATTCTTTGCAAAATGAAAAGATTTCAAGGGTGAATTGCATTAAAAATGTGGCTGACCTTACTGCTAACGTATTGCCTGTCCAAGAAAGTGTTTGACTGGGCTTAACGTCTAACGTGACCTGTTGCGTTAACCTGTAATTGACCTCTAGGCAACTGGGCCCAGTGTTTCAGCAGGTATTTAACTCTGCTTAGACAAAATTCTATACATTTTCAATTCCAGATTATTATTGCTGCGTCTTGGATATGTCCGTTGGTTCTTGACTTTCCAATGTTGCTAGTAACTGATTTTCACAAAAAGAAAGGCCACAACTTTTGCACGCATGCATGGCCAGAGAAGTGGATGAGCCAAGTTTATACATCTACGTGGCGTGTCTACCTAGGTCTCTCCTTCACACTCTTGGTGGTGTTTTACTCGAGAGTCGTGTACTGCTTATGGTTTAAAAGAAATGACGATAATGTACTCACGGAACAACAAAAGGTATTTAGCAAATCTTTGATAAAATGCTGAAACAATTTCTATATCATTTTTATATATAATTTTTTTCCCTAAACTAGTGAACAGCACTCTGGGAACTCTAGCTGCAAAACCTGTTTACTGTTCTACGTGTTTTGTTAGCGTTTCATCTTCCTCAGGGAGTTTTCTTCCAAACAATTTAAAAACGTTAACAGTAAAAATTAACATGCTGCTAAGGAAAAAAATGCTTTTAATAACGACAACCATCTTAGCAGAATTATGTCAACTTTATGGACCGAAATGTTCACGCTCCCCAAAGACCGGAATACCAAACATTTCGAGTTTGAAAATTAGCAGCTGTTGTCCATTAGGAACAAATCTTAGCAGCTTAAACAATCTAAACTTATACAGTGAAGTTCCATTGTTGCAGTGACCAAGGACTTCAGTGGACTCATCTCGTTAGCTAAGCCAGCCCTAAAAGAACGACATTCATAACTACTCTAATATCATGGGTGACGTCTTGATCCTAATTTTGGTGCGACTTTTTAGCATTAATTTATAATTTCACATGGGAAATTACAAAATTGCCATGGCAACCTTCGGTAAGTCTAAGAACCACAATGGCGACCAAGTTTTAAAATGATGTGAATAAGATGTCACGACATTAAAAAAACCCTTTAGACAACCTAAACACATGAAAGAGCACATCAAGGATTCTCAGAGGAATTTTGCGAACAAATTCCGAACTTAGCCAAATTTAAGCTCTAAACTTTTGCGTGGAGTTCTCGATCTCGATCGGTAAAACCAGGATAAATATGTTAAAAATCCACGATTTCGAACGTAATTCGTCACTCATGATATTAATAGGTAATCAAATGGTATACTCGTGAAATTAGATAAAGGGGTTCGGGAAATTATTAGGATTTGGACAAAACCCGCACGAAATTATTTCATTCGTCACCATTTGACTACAGATACTAATTTACAAAGGCTCTCTCTAACGAGTTCCTCTCCTTGTACATAGGGAGTTTTGAGGGTACGAAAGCGAGTGACCTTAATGGTTTTGACCGTCAGTGCCATATTTGGAATCTGCTGGGGTATAGAATCGGCATTCCACATCGTAGATGATTTTGCTTCCAAGCTCAGTCCAGTCTATTTCCTTATCTCTCACACAATGGTCACCTTCAATTCCGCGGTCAATCCGTTTGCGTATGCCCTGATAAATCAACGATTCAGGGAGAAAATGAAGAGAATGGTATGCCACTTAAGTTCCTCAGACGAGAAGCCCTCTCTCTCCAGGGAGCGGAAGGAGATGGATACCTGTATTCAACAAAGAGGACAGACTAGAAGTCGGGAATTAAAGACCTATCGCGGTATTACCGGTCTTAGGCAAGACTTACGAACAACTTCTTCGTAAACAAATATCTAAATATTTAGACCCAATATTGAGTCAAGCCCAGACAGCCTATTGAAAGAACAATGGATGTGAAAGTAAAAAAGACCTAGACCGTAAAAATGTTGTGGGAGTTTTGTCATCCGATATGAGCAAGGCTTTTGACTCTCTTTGGCCTCCAGTCCTGATGAAAAAATTAGAGGCCCTAAAATTAGTGCGACCTTATTTCTCTCAGCGGAAAAACAGGGTAAGAATGGGATAAGAGACAAGTCAATGGACTGATGTCAGAAGAGGCTGTCCCAAGGGATCTACATTTGGACCTTTATTGTAGAATGTTTTTCAGAACGATCTAGCTGAGGTTGTTATCAAAACTGATTTTTAATTATCACGGTATGCTGACGACCAACAGACATTTTCATCAGATAATTCAATTGCTAAGGTGGAGGAGAGGGTACTACATAATGGAAACAAAATGACAAGCTGGTATGAAGAGGATGTACTGAAGCTTAACATCAAGAAACACCAATCGATGGTACTTGGAAAAAGGCCAGCACAAATTTAAATGATTTATGTATTGGTGGAGTCCAAATAGAACAATCACAAAATATGAAACTGTTATGCACTTATCAATGTAAACCCCGTGGGGGGGGAGGGGGGGGGGGAGTGCGGGCAAGGGGGGGGTTTTTGACAAATTTTAAAATTTTTTGATCAAATTCCCCAGGGTGGGAAACGAAAGGTCAATCAAAAGCCCCCACCCCAGGCGAAAAAATCTAAACAAACAATACTATAATACTGTATAAAACGAATTAAAAGAACATTTCCAAAGTACGTCCTTACTAAACGTAAGCTCCGTTAAATTACTCGCTGTAATTAAGTATTTTCTCTCTCCACTAGCATCTCTTATTTTGAACAACAAAATCACTCTAGGAAGATTGACCGCGCTATTGTAATATTAATGAAACGTAAAATGCTTTATAACATCTGCTCAACATGTCGGAACAGGTCGGATCAGTGACCCGTAAAAAATCTTCTGACTTTCATGGTGGAATTCGATTTCAATCGAGTTTTACAGTCAGATGGGAATTTGATGATAAAAACTTTCTCAAAATAGACATTATCTGTTTAGATGACAGTTTAAAGTATCGGATTNGAATATAAAAAAACAAAAAAAAAAAACACAAAAAAAGAAGAAAAAAGAAAAAAGGCAAAAAAAAAAAAAAAATTTTTATGTGGTGGAGAAAAAAAAAAAAAAAAAAAAAAAAATGAGAAACTGTTGTGTACTTAAAAGTGGAGGCCGGGGGGGGGGGGGGGGGGGGGGGGAGTGCGGGCAAGGGGTGGGTTTTTGACAAATTTTAAAATTTTTTGATCAAATTCCCCAGGGTGGGAAACGAAAGGTCAATCAAAAGCCCCCACCCCAGGCGAAAAAATCTAAACAAACAATACTATAATACTGTATAAAACGAATTAAAAGAACATTTCCAAAGTACGTCCTTACTAAACGTAAGCTCCGTTAAATTACTCGCTGTAATTAAGTATTTTCTCTCTCCACTAGCATCTCTTATTTTGAACAACAAAATCACTCTAGGAAGATTGACCGCGCTATTGTAATATTAATGAAACGTAAAATGCTTTATAACATCTGCTCAACATGTCGGAACAGGTCGGATCAGTGACCCGTAAAAAATCTTCTGACTTTCATGGTGGAATTCGATTTCAATCGAGTTTTACAGTCAGATGGGAATTTGATGATAAAAACTTTCTCAAAATAGACATTATCTGTTTAGATGACAGTTTAAAGTATCGGATTATGGCGATTAAAACAAATGAAAACTTCACACTTTTCTCCAACAGCGTGACTTTCAGAAAGCCTCGAGGGACGGACTTGGTAACCGCTTCTGAATCGATACCAGGCTTCTGTCGGTGAAAGTCAAATGTCCCTACCCCGGGGTCGCTTTGCACGATCAAAAGTCCGACAGCGGGATAGTCTCAGGCATCAAATCCCCGCCCTTTGCCCGCACTCCCCCCCCCCCCCCCCCCCCTACCTTTTCTTTTGTGTTCATTTTGGGTGAAAACCCACACCAAAAAAAACTAATATTTATTTAGGCGAACAATCTAGAAAAAAAAAAAAGCAAAAAATGGGGTGACCTAAAACAAAAAAACCTTCTCTCCCCGCCCCACATCCAAATCTTTAATACACACTATTCTACCCAAAACAAAAAATTTACTCAGAACCGACGCCTTTTTGTGACACCCCCCCCCCCCCCCCCCCCCCCCCTACGAGATTTACATTGATAGGTGCATTAGGCGTGAACATCGACTCAGTAATAAACTTTAGTAATCATATAGGCGAACTCTGTAGAAAGACGAGTCAGCAAATTGGAGTGCTCATAAGACTAAACACCTTTTGCCTGCCCGTGCCAAATTGCAATTATTCAAACCGGCTATCTTACCACATCTAACATATTGCGGTACAGCCTGGCATTTTTGCAGAGCCTCTAATAGGCCCAAAGTAGAACGATTACAGGACATAGCTTTAAGAATTGTAATCAATAGCAAACTGGGGTTAAAATTCTTTGTGTATTGTATTTGCATTGTAATGTGGCATTCACATTACATTATAATATATAGATTTATTCAGGGCTAAAAGCGAAGCTCCCGTTAATAAATTCATAATTTCAATCAAACAATAAACTTGTAATCCACAGATTAGGGCTCATTCATGTGACTTTTGAGGCAATGGCTGAGTGAAAAATAATTTGACAATCCAAGAGTGAAACAAATTTTTCATCGAGTTAATAGTCTTATTTGTACACCTAAAAACAGCAATCATGTTCGATCACAGTAGATTAGGCCTCGAAAACAAAGACCTATTCGTGTATTGTATTTACATCATAATGTGGAAATTCCTGAAACAAAACGTTTTACTCCCAAGGGGTTTGAATTGGGTACAACATTAAGTTAAGCGAATCGGTCTATTGCCATACAAAATAACCCAGTCGTCCATCACCTTAATTTTTTAAGTTTAATTCACAGTCTCTCCAACAACTGTGTTTGAGAAACTGATCATACAGACCTCGGACAGAATTTGTTCTTTTTTGCCCTATTTAAACCTATAATTCTGCAGTTTTCACAACTTTGCAGGGCAAATTGCACCCATTCAATATCTAGGACGATCCAAGCACACGCTTCCTTTGCACAACAAATTATAGAAATGACCACATTGTAAAACGTTTTCATGAAGAGAATTCCATAATGTCGGGACTTTTCAGTTAGAAAAATCTCGTCCTATGTGATATGCAGGGTAATAATTATGGGCTTTTAGTGAAAACGATAAAAAAATTCCCAAAATCACATCAGTTTTCGGCCAGCCGGACGGGTTCTCACTTTTGACAAGCACCAGATTTGCAGTGCGATTATAGTCAGGTGGCTAAAGGCTCAGATCTATACAGAGCGGACAAAAGCACCAAACTTTGCATGGTTGTAGCTTGGGGCATGTTAGTCAATATTAGGATCGGTGCCCACCGCTACCTCTTCAGGATTCGCAGCAACTGCTCGCTGAAGTTCTTCAAGAACCTTCCATGATGGGTGCTATGTGCTGAAAATTGCAATCCCTTGTTTTTCGCCATTTTTTATGAAAAAAAACATAAAAAGGCAAGTAGATGGAAAACGAAACTGTATTAATACTATTATTATTGAAACCAATGACTAAAACAAGTCAACTTAATGATATAGCAATAATGATATACCATGATGGGTGCTCTGTGCTAAAAATATCAATTCTTTGTTTTTTGCCATTATTTTGACGAAAATCACATGAAAGAAATGAAAATGGAAAAAGAAATTGTATCATTATTGAAACCAATGACAAAAACAAGTCAACTATATGGAATATCCAAGGAAGATGTTTTCAGATGCGTACTCAGTCCCAAATGGCCTTTCAAGATGGCGGCTTGAAGGTGTCTTTTCATGGACTGTAAGTATCTGCTAGAATAAATTGCCGTTTTTAGGGGAAATTGTGTACAATTTGAATCACGACAGGTTTAAGTGAAGTTTTAAGCTCTTCTTAGTGATAAATGTGTTATCGAAAGCCATATTTTCGCTTCATATTTTGTGCCGATTATGAATGACTAGACTGAGTTTATTTTCTTACTGGTTATTTATATTGTCATATTTGCCAAGAATCAACAAAAGAAGATCTGAGGAGCCCACTGACTTAACGGTACAAGCATTTATAGAACGCCCCTTGAAAATGTACTAGAATTCAGGAAAGAGAACTGTTTTCCGGTTGCAATTAAGTTTGATTATGAAATCACTACGTAGTAAAAATGCAAAGAAGCAGCAATCCTGTCACCTCACGTTTAGCAAGTCCAAGTTAGAAAAAGCAAGAGAAAGGAGAAGCAAGTGTGATTGCCATTGATTCAAAATATTATGTTCGCTGTTTAACTGACTTGCGAAAGAGGCATACATGTCAGAGGAACGCTAGAAGAAAAGTAAATCAGCCTGGAAGGCCGAGGAAGACGAGGAATTAAATAAATCAAGAGTATTTGTTGAACTTACTGAGTACGTAGCAAATGCAGTGGAGCATGATACACATTTGTTTATACTTGCCAAACTTCATAAGCTGTATTCGTTACATACAAAGGCACACACCTTGCAGTTCCATTAGTGTCAGTCTTCCAAGCTCGTTTGGTGCCACAGTCTACAACTTGCTGTTTCTGGTCTGCTTCTACCATGATGCGTGTTTCTCTTTTCTAGTTTGCTTTTTCTAACTTGGACGAAAGGTGACAGGATTGAGGCCACGTAGCATTTGTTTACTACTGTAGTGATTTCAGTATCAAACTTAATTGCAACAAGAACACAGTCCTCTTTTTTGAATTCTAGTAAATTGTCAAGGAGCGTTCTATAGATAATTGTTCCCTTAAACCAATGGGTTT